ATATTTTTTCTGAACTGGTCATTTGTATTCTCATTTAATGTAGTTTTCTTTTTTATATTTATGGCTTATTTTTCAATTTAGACCCCAATTTATTGATCTCATGCCTTCTGTTTACTTTCATATGTTAAGAGTTCTTCCCACACATCCACACACACACTCACATGCATATGCATATGTATATATGTATCATATTATGTATGTATGCATATGTGTATATAATACTGGTATGTATCTATATATATATATATCTATACACACACACACACACACACACACACACACATAAAATGTCCCCTCTAATGTTTGTATGTTGAAATATTTTTTCACGTGGAATTAATTTTGTGTAAGAATTGAGATAAAGATCTACATTTTTTCCAGAATAGCTACTATAAATTTAAAAATACAACTCTTGTCCACTAAAACACAGTGTCTTCTTTCTCAAATAGTAAGTCCCCATATGTCTCTGAGTCTGTTTCTGGACTTTTTATTATGTTCTATTATTCTATTCATGTGACACTACCACACTGTTTAGTTGCTATTAATTTATAATGTGTTTTAATGTCTGAGTATTCAATTCAGAAACTTCTATGCCATTTTCATATGTACATTTTTTCATACCACCTTTCCTATCACTTTGGACAGTTTACAGCACACACTTATACACACACATACAAAACACCCTTTCTTTGATAGATATTGCACCCTTTATTTTCATTGATATTTTCAATGACATTTATAGATTGATTTGGAAAAAAATCTACTTCTTTTTAATTTTGATTCTTCCTATTCTAAAACAGGATATGTCTTTCTATATGTTTATCAAACTATAATTTTGTACCCATTAATCAATTCCTCTTAGTTTCCTCTTCCCCCTTCCCTTCCCAGCCTCTGGTAACCACCAATCTACTTTTGTCTTCATGAGATTCACTTTCTTAGCTCCCACATATTAGTGAGAACATGTGATGTATATTCACTCTTCTTTTGTGTAAATTGGGTGCATTTAAAGGGAGGTTTAAAAATAATTTAGATATTGCTTATTTTTTCTTGAGCTTATTTCCAGGTATCTTATACATTGAATTGCTATAAATAATGAGATTTTTCTTCCATTATCTTTGTTCCTGGATGTTATTCATATGTAAGAAAACTATTGATTTATATATGTTAGTTTTGTACTCAGAAACTTTTCTGAATTCTCTGATTTTAATAATATTTCAGATTTGCTGTTTTTTACTTATTTCACTATATTATTTGCAAACGATGTTAATTCTTACCTCCTCCTCCCCAGTTTTTCCTCTTTTTTCTATCTTGTCAGTTGTATCAGCTACTGCTTCCAAAACTGTGTTACATAATGGTGATGATAATGAAATCCTTGTTTTATTCTTCGTTATCATAGAAAGACATCCAATGACTTTGGGTTAAGTCAAAGTGTATATTTCATTTTATTAAAGTAGTTATATATAAGTTATATATTACATTATATTAAAGTAGTTTGCTTCTGTTCCTGTTTTACTTGAAGACTTTTTTTTTAAATCAAGTATGTGTTCAAGAATGGAAAAAATGCCTTTTCAGTATCTACAGGGATGACCATATTAATAGATTTCCTTATACTGAGTTATAATAAAAATCTTTTTATGAATTTCTCTCGGTCAGGTGCTATTCTCTTTGCTCATATTTTAAAATTTTAAGTTAACATCCATAAATCTTTTCCATGTTCTACTTTCATTGAATTAAGGGATTAACATTACACTGGTTTCATAAAAAGAACCAGAAGCTGCTTTTGTTTTTAGGGTGTTTTTTGAGACAGGGTCTCACTTTGTTGTCCAGACTGGAGTGCAGTGGCAGGATCACAGCTCACTGCAGCTTCATACTCCTGGGCTCGAAGGATTCTCCCATCTCAGCCTCCCCAGTAGCTGGGACTACAGGTCCACACCACCACACCCGGCTAATTTTAAAATTTTTTTGTAGAGACAGGGTCTTTCTATGTTGCTCAGGCTGTTCTCAAACTCCTGGCATCAAGTAATCCTCCTACCTCAGTCTCCCAAAGTGCTGGGATAACAGACATGAAGCCACCACGCCAGGCCTTTCCCCATCCCGCCATGTTCCACAACAGTTTATATAGCTGTTTTTTTTTTTTTTTCTCCTGTTCTTTAAAGATTTATATAATCTTTTAACAAACTCTCTGGTTCTAAGGCTTTATATGAAATGAGTAGGTGCCTTGTTGCTAATATTATTTCCTCTTTGGAAATTGATCCTTTTGTCTCAGTTCCAGTTTGTTGTATTTTCCTAAAAAATCATCTATTTTATCATGATTTTCAAGTTTATTTTCTTAGAGTTGAACAAAGTTTTCATTAACAATTCCTTTAATGCTTCTGCATCTGTGGCTATTTTTCCCATTCTCACTTCTTAGTTTTATAGTTATGCCTCTTTTCTTGATTAGCTAATAATTTTTCTACTATATGGATAATTATTTTTCAAAGAGACGAATTTTGATTGTATTTGTTCTACCATTTTTCTGTTTTCTTACTCATTAATGTCCATTTTTATTTTTTAACTCCTTCTTTATTCCCCTTTGCTTTTATTTTTCGTCTTCTTCCAAATCTTTTTACTTGTATGACAGATCTATTAATTTTTAATCTTTCCCATTTATTAATGTAATTGCTTAAGGCTTTTCTGTCAGCACTGTTTACAGGACATCCACAGCTCTGATTTGTTGTCATGTGATTTCAGTCTTGTTTATACCTTTGCTATGAGTTGTTTATTAGATAGGTTTTTTTCCCCCCTACTTTTTATTAGTATCCAGTCAATTTAATTATTATCAGAGAATGTTGTCTGTGGCATAAGTCTTTGGAATTTACTGAGATCTCTTTTGTGACCTAATATTTAGTCAATGTGTGTTAATGTTCCTTGAAAACTTGAAAAAAAAAAGTGTATTCTCTGTTTTTAGGTTACAAAATTATATATATATTACATATAATTAAAAATAATTTAAAAATCTAAATTATTTATTGTGTTACTTAGATCTTCTCTATCTTTACTTGTTCATCACTTGACTTGTCAAAATTAAGAAGCAAAAGTCTCCTGTTCTTAATATGTTTAGTCCATTTCTCTGTCTCTCTGTCTCAGTCTCTCTCTCTCTCAGTGTTTGCTTCATAAATTTAGATTTTAGATAATTGGTGTTTAGCTACTAATGAAAATTAGATGGCCTTTATAAATTGTGCCCATTATTATTACAAAAAATGTTCCTACTTGTCTTGTTCAAGACTTTCACTCTGAATTCTACATGCCTGATATCACAGCTACTGTTTTTCTTTCCTTTTTATTTCCTGAAATACTTTTTACACTTTTTTTTTATCTTCCACTCTTCTTAGTGACTTTGTTTTAGGTGTGTCCCTTATTTATGCTTTTTGAATTTGTATGATGGCCTTGTTATAATTTGGGAGGTTTGCTTTCTATTTTTAGAATTTTAACAGTTACTTCTATAACTAGAATTTAGTTTACTTTAATATAAGATATTTAATTTTTCATTTATGTGGATAGTATTAACTGACTCTCCACTGTGAGGACACAAGGAATTAACATATCCCACAGTCTTTTATTCTTCTTTCTTTCCTTTCTTCTCACCACTGTCAATGTAATATTAACATTTATATTATTTCCTTGGTGCTTACAGTATTTAGCTGTATGACATTAAAAAGACAAACTTTAATTGTCTGATTTATCAGCTTTTAAATTAATGGATTGACTCTTGGCTATAAAGTGAAGAATCGATTTTTTTGTTTATTCTACAAATTTCTTTAAGTAATTTATGTCTGCATTGCATGTATATGAGCTTTTCCTTTCTTGGTTTTATGGGTAATCTTTAAGAGATATTCAAATGGTGGAACTATCTATACATCACGTTCTTAAAATTGGAAATCCAAAAACATGTTTATGTTTCTCTAAAAATAAATATATTTTAAAGGTAAAGTCTTTTTCCCCTAGTCAATGGAGAGTGAACCAAGAATTTTAAAAGAAATTTAGACAGAAGAATAAAGGCCTGTACAGCATAGAAAAAAGTAAGTCCAATGGCCTAAGAGTAGTATAACTCAATAGTTTTACAGAATATTTTAAGTATATAAATTTAGATTACATTATTATAGTAGTATTATGCATATAATAATGTTACAAGAAAATATTGCAAGACAAAGATAATATTTATGAAGTGAAATAAAAATGCTTCGTCTCAGCTTCACCTGGGTAGTGCCTTATATAAATACGTTTCTGTTTGCTCACTAGAAAGAATTAGTTGAATACACATTCTCAGGACAGCTTGACATATAGTCAAGAGGTACAGACTGTACTACTTGTCTAACTATGCAAACTTTTCATTTTGAGTTAAGTAGAAGAGGCAGTTTCCAATGGGTTTGTCTTTTGCCTGAGAACCTCTACACATCTCATGTAACCCCAGGAGAAAATGCCACTGGGGGTACTTAGATTGGCATTAGGACCACCAGAATGGGATCTGAATTTTATTTGCTGTGTCAGGGAAAGTCTAATTTTCTACTGGGTGACTGTTGCTATCTCAGAAGGCGCTCAGTCTCAGTTGCTTAGGAAGTCATATATGGGCAGTCCTCAGATGGACCTCAGTGAATCAGTTGAGTCTACCTTATATTGCCCTCTAGAGTACAAAAAGTTCATAGGCAGGGGTTATTGTCCTCTGTCTTTGAGTGTGCCAATCACAACTGTATTTTTAAGTCATTGCTTTATTATTCATTCATTCACGTATAGCCAATCATAAATAAGATTCCCAACTGACTTTATTGTGAAGATGTGACTTATCCTACCGGTTCTGTAGCGTCTCAGAAAGAATGTCAGGTATCTCAGTAGATAGACTTCAACATGTCTATAACCAGGGAGACAGACATAGTTGCAATAATTTGCACAGCAATTGGCTAGCCTCAGCCACCTTGCTTGAAAGGTTACTAATGCTGATAACATTTACCTAATCGTCATCCTGAGATAGCCAGCCTCCTCCCTACACGTTGTAAGTAAACTCAGTGCTTCCAACTTAGAGATGCTTTTCAATCAATGTATCCATTGTGTTAGAGTAAATGCAACTTGGCCCTTAGCCAAGGCTTTGCCCAAGACATTAGTTCTGTGTTCCCTGCGTGAATTCAGCCTTTCTTATAGGATTCAGGTATTTAATCACTTCATGTCCACACAATATCACTGTGAGCCCTGGGAAGCATTACCACATTGCTGTTTTTATTTTGTCACTCACTCCCCTGACTGGTTTGTTTTTAGAGGTTTAACTGAGCCTTTAGCCTAAAGGCTGTTTCCTTTACATGTGTTATACAGAAGTATGTAGGAATTTCGCCAAGAGGCAACATAATGAGTATTGGAAATGGGACAGGTTTTAGGGTCAGATAGACCTGCATTTGGGCTCTGGCTCTGTCATTCGCTTATTGAGCAACCTGGGAAAGTTTATTTAACTTCCCAAAAATCTTATTTTTTTTTTAATCTGTAAGTATGCATACTACACTCCAAATTGCATAATTATTTTGAAAATTAGAAATAAAGCAATATATCTAGTAGATTTTTAAGAATAAATAGCTCCTTTGTTTATGAGTATGTATGTATTTAAGAAAAAAGATTCACAGGAAAATATGTGATTTCTTATTTCTACTTTCTAAAAACAAAAAGGAAAAATAGAAATTTATTACCGTAAGAAAATAAGATATCCCTGGAGTTTTTAGTTCTGACATTTAAGTTAATATATTTCATATAAAAACCATTACACAAATTTTTAATTACAGATGACTTAATTCAACAACAGCCATTCAGTAAGTGTGAATACTGTGCTGAGTGCCATGAGAAACTCAAGACACACTGGAAGGGTTTGGCCCTTGTTGGGGCTCAGAAAACGACACCCCAAAGAATGGCACTTTGGCATGCTGAGTGCTTTGAGCTAAAGGAGAGTGAAAGGCCCAGAGCAGCCTCAGAAGCAAAGTCTTTCTCTGACCTTCTCCTGCCCTCCTGTGTCCCCCCACCCCTTTGGCTGAGGGAACCAGAGAAAATCCCCAGGAAGTGATATTTAAGTGAATGTTGAACAATGAATGCGAATTAGATAAGGAAAGAGAAGACAAAGGACATTTAAAGATTTTACAACATCTATGGGAGCTTAGCATTTGAAAGTGTCTGGGTCATCTGAAAAACAGTGCAAAGTTGTTGGATGGCAATGGAAAGCTAATTTAGAGTCTTCTTTTGAAGAACTTTGAGGTCATAGTGAAGAAAATTGAGTTTTTGTGATCTTCCAAAGTATTCCTATTAGCAGAGGGAGTGTATTCCATGCTTGAGGGAATCGAAGAGTGTAGCCTACAGCTTCTCAATGTAAAAAAGTCAAATTTATCTGGAATCATCTGCTTTATCTCCAAATTTCATGGTATGATTTTTAATGTAGTAACATATGAGATTTACAATTTATTGAGTTGCGAGCTAAAATAAAGTCTTAAGAATCCCCCTAGTGCTGACTGAATGGACCCACTCCTGACCAAGGGGATACCCTAAAACTAAGTTGCCTGTCATGAGCAGGGAGGTTAGACATGGCTCATCCTGCCCCACTCTCTTCTTGGAGACACCCTTTGTAACCCAATAACAGGCCTAAGGCTATACAAGACAAACCTGCAGGTCCTCAATTTACACAACAAATATATGTCTGGTGGCTTGTCCTGTTTAACAGACCTCCTTATCTTAAAACATTCCAAGCCTTTAGACAAATCTTTAAACCCATCTATTACCTGTAAGCCCTCCCCTCTCCCCCCACTTCTAGATGGCCCACCTTTTTGGGCCAAACCAATGTATGCCTTCCATGTATTGATTTATGACTTAACCTGTAACCCCTGTCTCCCTGAAATGTATAAAACAAAACTGTAACCTAGCCCCAGCGAGTCCACTTGCTCAAGGCCTCTTGGACGTGGCTCCAGGGGGTCAGGGTCCTCAAATTTGGCTCAGAATAAATCCCTTTAAAATTATTTTCCAGAGTTTTGCTTCTTTTCCATTGACAGAGTAAAGTTTACTGTGCTTGGTACATTGGAGGCAAATAGTATACATTGGTTCTGAATTTTGACTGAACCGACACTCCAGAAAGTCATCCCAGGTTCTTAGCCATTGTCAAAGGAAAAGAACCCAAACTCTGTAAGATAATTTAAAGAGGCTTACTCTGAGTCAAATACGTGTGATCCATGGCCTGGACAGCCATGTCCAAGAAGCCTTGAACAAGTGATCCTGCCACCATGGCTGGGTTACAGTTTGGTTTTATACATTTCAGGGAGACAGGAATTACACATAAAGTCTTAAATCAATACATGGAAGACATACATTGATTTAGCCTGAAAAGGCAGAACATCTCAAAGTGGAAGGATTACAGGTTATAGGTGGGTTTAAAGATTCTTTGATTTGTAATTGGTTAAAGAAATGAAGCTTTGTCTAAAGGCTTGAAATATTTTAAGTTAAGATAAGGAGGTCTGTTAATCAGAGACAAGCCACTAGACATATACTAAAACTCAAGTGATCTGTTTAGTAAATTAATGATCCCAGGTTTGGCTTAACGTTTGTCTTACATGTCCTTAAGCTGGTTAATGATTTTGTAACTTGTTACAAAGAGTAACTTCAAAAGGAACAGGGTGTAATTAGATGTGTCCAACCTCCCTTCTCCTCATGGCCATCAACTTAGCTTTAAGGTTTTTGAGGGGAATAGAGGGGAGTCCTCTTGGACAAGAAGGGTCTATTCAGTCAGCTGGAGGGGCTTAAGATTTTATTTTAGTTCTTGCCACAGACTGTCTGGGTATACCCGCTTTGTCTGTGGAGATGCAAGCTCCTCAAATTGAGGTGTACAGTAGGCATTGACAATAGGTCAACTAAGAATATTTCTTGGTCACAGAAGTAACACGATTAGTTTTTTTATGCTTGGGGAAATTGCTATCAACTGCATGAAAGAAGCTGGACCAGCACTGGCAGGAAGCAGGACCAGAAAGCAGGTTGCTGAAACAGCCCATGAGAAAGGCAGGGCATGGACTAAGGTGGTGGCAGTGCAAATGGAAAGAAAAACACTACATTACAGTTCATTAGAATGTTCTGAACAGTTGACTACAGGGGCGAAAAGAAAAGGGTCAGATATATCATTTCTGTTATGTTCTTGTAGACAGTTTGCTGGTAGAACCAGACCTGGCTTCTAGGCCATGAGGGTTAGTGTAATGTTAACAGTTGCGGTCACCTGATAGTTTTTAAATCTCAGATTTCTTGCATTAAAATTACCTATGGTTTTTTTTTCCCTCAGGCTTTTTAAAGCAGATCTGTAAAATATCAGGCCACCTTTAGCATTTGTCTTTTCTCTTAATTTGGAATACATGTAAGCTTTGTGCTTGAACAGGTAGCAAATAGGTTCCCTTTTTAAGACACTAAAGGAGACTAGATGAAATTACTTGCATGATTGGAATGCATATTCCCAGTGTGAATCTGTGAATAATTCTCCCATGATTGAGTTCTTGTGAAAAAAAAAAAATTCATTTTCGTACTTGGGAATAAAAGAAAGTTCATTATAATATTAACGGTGTAGTGGGAAGAACGTGTGGCAAAGCCTAACAATATTTAAATTTACCAGCCTAAGTAGAAATCTTTAATCTGGCATTGCGGCCAATGGGTCTCATATAAAGTTTTCTTCTAGATCCTCATGTAGCTTAACTTTTAGGAACACAACATAGGACTTTTTAGAGATAAGCAATGATAGGATTCAGGACACACTCCTCCTAAATATGGCACCTTGGCTTATTGAATATTTTAGGTGGAAGGAATTTGAGTAACAGCGTGTGTAGGGAAGGTTTTCTGACCTTCCCCTGAAGCAAGTTATAATACCCTCCTGTGAGAGGGGCCCTCCCTAGACCCAGATGAAAGGAACACCCTTCCCCCTAAAGACTCAGGGCACCGAGAGGAATCTGAATGAAGGGACGTTGTCAAGTTTCTCCCCATTGACTCACATCTTTTATGCCTTCACGTCCTTCCACAACTTTCTACTCATTAAACTGACCCTAAAAACACTTAGGCTTAACCATTCCTTTGGGTCTGCATTTCCTTATGAAGGCTCCCACGTCACATGTAACTTACATTAAATAAATGTGCATGCTTTTCTCCTGTTAATCTGTCTTTTGTTACAGGGGCCCCAGCAAGTACACCTAAGATGGGTGGAAGGAAAAGGTATTTTTCCTCCCTATAGCTGTACAGTCACAAACAAAGCTGCACATATATAAAGTTTTGTTGGGTGGCAATGGGTAACACCTAAGAGGAGAGAGGTTCTGTGCTGAAGGAATTTTGCTTCCAGACACACACACACACACACACACACCCTGCATTTCTAGAACTAGAGCTAGGAACCTGGCTTTATGAATGCTTGGACACAAATGTCATTCTTTTGAGATTCTAGGTGGCTGTCTCTCTTTAAAGGGTATCTGAGGAGAATTATCGTTTCTTTAATACTGACTTGTCCTAAACTTTCCCACAAGTCTGGTCGTGGAGAGATTTCCCAAGGAGTTCTGCTTCGAGTATTTATATCCATCTGACTTCTAGGAAAAAGCCAAGAAATAGAGAAACAAAGAATACCCTAAAGACACTTAGAGATGTACCAGATTGTAATGTTGCACATTTCTTATGACAACATAATATATCAGAACAGAGTGGGCTTACTTGGATAAGAGTCAGAAATTGGGGGAAATAATGGCTCTGTTAGCATACGCAGCCTTCACACTACCAAGGAGCCTTGTTTTTCTTAGCACACGGTGGATTTAAAGTTACGGCCTGAGTGGTTATTCCCAGCTCAGTTGATTTCTCATGAGCCACATATATTCACATGCCCCAGACAAGATCATTTCCAGTTTTCAGCACTCCTACTTCTGGGAAGGGAGAGCTAAATTATGTGAGAGTGCTCCCAGCGGGGGGACACATAGAGATAGTTGTTCTAGAAG